TTAAGAAGGGATGAAACTTTGAGACAAAAATGTACCAAAAATACTGAGAAAGCAATAATTTGAACCACATGGGTATTTTTTAATATGCTGTATATTTGAAGCAAGCAACTCACCCATTCCACACACTTAGTGTAAATTACTCCTTTCCATTATCTAAAATCTTTGGAAATCTATCTGGATTAGCCAAAAGAGGGCACCAAAGAGGTGTCTTTGCTATGGAGCTGGGCAGAGAGAGAGTCATTTCTGGTAAAATAAAGGGGGAGAGGGGGGGCGGGACTCTTTGATGTATGGAGTCTTGCAGACTGGAATTACTAGCAAAGTTTAACACAGGGCAATTATGCACAAAAACAAAAGCGCCTATAGCTTATAGTTAAAATAATGCTTTATTCCCCATGTTGCTGCTTTACTGCACAAGTAATAAGAAAGCCATGGGGGAAGGGGGGAAGAAAGCAAAGACAACTGATGTAAACATGTTATGAAATATCATAAGTTTGTGTAACTGAGGAGATTGTGCAATGCCTTTCAGAGAAGCCATAATTTTTGCCTATGATGAAAAGGCAGATGGGGGTGGCGGGGAGAGAAATAAAGAGAGAAATGCAAATTGAGAGAAAAAAGGCGGGGAACAAACTGGCCATCAGACTTCAGTTCCAACAGGAAATATTCCTCATTCTTTAAGTTCCGACATCATTCAAGACCAGACACTGACCAAAAAAAAATATCCCAAAAATGTAGCCAGAGTGCTCAGATCCTGTAAGAACTTGCATTTTGAAGGTCAAAACCCAATCAACAATAAATACCAACAAGCCAAGGAATGTCTGAATACCAAAGGAAAACAGTAATTGCCCTCTTGTTTGCCTGAAGATAAAGCAGATACAAAAAAAGGACATTCCAATTCCTTCTGGGAAAAACTGTTTAAAAAATGTAGAAACCAATTTGAATTGACTCCTTTGAAAGGATAGGAGATATGGGGGGTTGGGGGGTTGCATTTTGCCTATGGAAATGACTGTATCATTTAAACAGCATTTTTAGCACAGACGGAATTGCTTCATGAAACAGCATTAGAGTTCATGGAAGGGAAAATGATTCCAGCTAGAATAAAAGAGAAGAGCTACAAACAAGAGAGAAATAAAATCCATAATTTAAAAAGTACAATTCATCTTGCAGATTCCACTAATTTGCAGTAGTACAACAAAGACAGTAATACACTCTGCCTAATTTAGGGGGGGGGAATTCTCTTTTGCCTTACATTTTTTCGATGTAACAAATGATTTACAATCCATTGCAAAAATGTTTTTTTCAGTAAATTGGGCCTGTAGTCTGGCCATTTATTCGATGGGATTATAAAGTGCTGAACTGCATTTACAAAAACATACAAAACATCTGCCATCATTAACATGCTGAAATTAAAAAACGAATATGTAATTCCATATCAGATTTTAAATTTAGAATCCATTGAATCTAGGCTTTCAATGGAAAAAGCCATTTTGCTTTGTGCGTATAATATCTAGTTCAACAACCTGAGTTAAAGTAAATTACAAATCAAGCTAATGATACTAACATTGAACCCATTTTGGAAAGTAAATGTAATTATTTCAATCAAGCTTATTCTGATAAGAGTTGTAATTTCTACCTTTTCAAACACAAAGTATTGCAGCCTCCTTGGAATCCTAAAATTCACTGCAAATTTACTTCTACCAAATAAAGCACAAATAAATGGGATGGGTGTCACAGTAAAAAATGCTAACCATTATAAATATTAAGGAAACATTTTGCATTTTAGAAATATCTTGGAAAATTGAAGATTAGTATTTGAAAAGGGAGGGGAGAACTTCTTATTTCCAAAGAGTGAGGCAGAAGTATATTATCTTTGTAAACCCACCTTCATTAAATAACCAATCTTTTCCCGCTTCTTACGACTTTTGATTCATATTTTTCATCCTAGATACAAATCAGTTCAGACACTAATAAACACAAGAATAATAGAGATGCATTATTCCCAATTTTGAAAACTAAAATCAGCACATTAAGCATTCATAAAAATATCTAATTTTGTAAACTGCCAAACTGCAGCCTAATTTTGCCCACATACAATTTGCCAGGCTCCTTCCTATAGGCCAACTACTATATAATGAAAATAACCTATCTTTCTTTGGAACTTTGAAATAATTTTCTAGAGGACATTGTAGATTTCATTTTTCTAGATTCACACAATGGTATTACAAATGCATTACAGTCACATTCCAAATCCTTAATTCTGCCCTGACAGTTATGTGAGCTGGCGCCATATTCCCTGAAGACATCTCTATTTTTGTTTTATTTTTTCCAAACCCTAAAAACGATTATTTCATAAGCTTAATTCATCTGAGTTGAAGGAACTTGGGAACTGAAACAGTTCAAAGGAGATTCCCATTGTGGCTTCTCCTGGGAACAGAACTGGACTGTTCCCAAGAACTGGTGCCTTTCACAATTTCCTTTCTCTCCTTAAAGTTGTATTTTTTAAATAAGAAACTTAGAGATAATAGAGGAATGATCAACTCATATAAAGAAAATATATCTGTCCATAAAGTCACATGCATTTCAAGTGACTTCATTCCGTTTCTGTCATTTACGTGACCTTTTACCATGATTGAGTTAAGTCTCAGAAGGGTCCAGGTGAGCCTCAACTACCCTGGCATTATATAAGCCTTTAATGTGGGTACCACTGGGCTCACAGATGTACCCCTTAGAAGCATTAAGGCTCATTTCATTGCCCCTTCTAATTTTAAAATCATTTTTACTTTTTTTTAATACTTAAACATTAGTTTTCTGCTGAGAAATAGTTTGCTGCAAAGCAAAGCACCAGTTTCCAACATAATCATGTGATGCATGTTAGCTCATTTGTATGTTTTGGTGTGGTGTACTTTTTGTCTGAGATTTTCTTCTATGTGGGAGTATAATGATCTGTGTGTTTCTTTAAACATAACCTGTTTGCATTATGTGAAAAAAAGTATTTTGTTGTGCTTTGTGCAGGCAGATACGTGTTTTGGCACTTGACATTCAGACCACACCTCTGCATTGTATTCATTTGGCAAAGTTATTTATCTCTCAGCCTAAGTCTCCTCAATTTGCCCTCTGTGAAATGGGTACTGAAGTAGAAGACTATGAGCTCAAAGCAGAAATTTTGTGTTTAGAGGTCCAGAATTCCTTCTTGCCCTCATAGGTAAAGTTCATAGGTAACCTACATTTTCTGTTTTGTAAAATAGAGGAGTTTTGTGACTTGCCCCAATTACCTTGGTGGGCATTTGTAAATGTGCAAGTCCTACTGCCCTCTCCAAATTATTAAGAACACATATAACTTTCTCTTAAAATGTGCCCGATGCTTAAAAGGGTTGGCGATTCCTGGCTTATGGTCCTTCCCCAGAGCCAATTATTTTCCACACTGTAGAATCTCACCTCACAACCACAATATCTGAACTTTTGGAAATACCATAAGGGAACAAGTCAAGCCAAGGTAACATTATAGATGACCAGACCTACATTTAAGCCTGCTGTTTGCAAGCTGCTCACTTAAGGAGGATGGGGGGGGGAAGAGGTTCTACTGAATAAACCTGGAGACAGACTTCATCTCCTCCTCTGCACTCTTAAAAGTCCACAAAAGAAACCGAGTTCTTTCTTTGGCTCTTCTTCAGCTGAGGTACCAGACATTTTGGCATTCTTTCTCAATGGCAATGATTGAAGAGCGAGGCCCACATATCCCCTTTTATACTGTTTACACGCCAGTGGAAACCTGTGTTAATAGTTCCAGAAGGCTACTCATGGTTTCCTCTCTTTTGTTCCCAATTAGACATTTTATTCCGAGAAAAACATGCCGCCAACCGCCGTACCCACCCAACCCTTTGACCTGGCGCCTATGGCTCTCTCACCTCAGGCTTTCTCTTCGCCCTGGATTTTTAGACTCTCGCCCAGAAAGGCTCCCCTTCCCTCCGATTCCCCGTTAGAGGACCTCAAGACACACTGATCTCCTGTGGGGAGAACGGACCGAAGATACAACCTTTCCCAGAAGAGACCCCCGAAGCCAAGAGAGCCAAAGCAACCTCCCACCCTCCCCACCGCGCGCCTCTGCCTCGTCGCCTTTGGCTCCACCAGAGGCCAGCACAAGCTGCGGAAAGCAAGACCTCCCAAGGCGAGCGGGGTTCAGGTTCTGCTGAACTGAAAAAAAGAGTCCGAGCAAAGGGATCGCGAGCGCACGGACAACCGCGAAGCTCTCTCTTCCTAGGAAGAAAAGGAAAACAAGGCAAGGGAGAAGACCGCCCGACCCCCGACCCCGCTTACTTAGCCGGCGCGCCTCCCAAATCGGTGGCTCAGGGTCGCATTGGGCTTGTCACTCCGATCGGGCTGTCTCCTGCCTACCAACTTCCAAGGGCTCTTTCTCTCTCTCTCTCTCCCGCCTTCCACTTCCAAGGACTTGTCCGCCCGCAACCGCCCCAACTCTTGAAAAGCCGCGGCCGTTTCCGCCTCCTTTTAAGGTGTGAGCGCGCTGAGAGGCGGCTATTGGACTGGAGGCCAAAGGAGACGCGTCGCCCGCTGCTCCCCTCTAATCTCCGACTGAGGGAGAGGTCGAGGCGCGCACACAGGAGGTGGACTGGGGTGTGGTTAGCGAACTTTACTATTTGATTAAGGAGTTGCTGCCGGCCGCGGAGGAAGGAGGGGGCACAGATCGCTCGCGGGGACGGGGGGGGTGAGAAGCGTGCGACGGAGAGGCGCTGAGGAGGGGGAAGAAAAGCAAATAATAAATAATCAGCATGATAACAGCGACCCGAACCACGCAAAGCCACATTAAAGTAAAATGAAAGAAAGCGGCTTCCCCCACCCTCCCCCAAGACAGATTCCTGTCACGGGACCACAAATGGGAGAAAGGATGAATTTAGGAGAGGAGAAAGTACACGTGTCCTGGTAAAAGGAGAGCCTCGATGTCGGATTTGAGCAACTTGGTGACCAAGGTGCTCGGGCTGGCCCCTTACCTGTTGAGTTGTGATGCTCGAGTAAGTTTCCGGATGCCCTGGAGAAGTGCTGCTGCCCCGAGAGGAGGTATCAAAATTTGTCGGAAAGTCCTGGTACATTGTCCAAGGTGCAAGCAGGAGAGGAGTAATAATGAAGGAAAAAAACCCACAATCTTTCTAGCTGTTGATCCCTCTTGCTCGGGACCCTTCCTGTCTTGGTTTCCAATCGTATAATTGATGCTTCAGATTTCAAGCGCGCTCAGGTGGAGACGGATGCAGCTGGCAGTTTGGATTTTGATTCTATTTTAAAGCGAGTCCTGATTTTTTTTCTCTCTCTCGAAGCAGGACCGTGGGATTTAAAAAAAGATTCACCCCAAACCTCCCACGCATAAGAATGCAAAATTCACTGCTTGTAGAGCCAAATTATCGAGTCTCTTAAGAACGTCAGCATAACTATAAAAAGGCTGTTGTTTTTTTTTAAAAAAAGAAGAGAGTTCTTTTTCCAAACGCGTCTTTATTTCTAAAGAAAATTGGACGTGTCTTGTTTCCCCTTCCTTCCACTTCGCCTGCCTACTGGTATCAAAGTCTTGATCTCTCTGTAGTTTTAAGGAGGATCGTTGCCTCCTGTATAATTAAGCCCTTCAGAAAAGTGCCGTCTTCCTGCTCGAACTGGACTGGATGAGTCAGCCCGGGCTTTTGAGGCTCTTTATTTACTTTATTGTTGAAAAGATTCAACTGGATTATCGATCTAGCTCTTGATTTTGCTCTTCTCGGCCATGAAGGCGAACTCTTCTGTCCCCTTGCTTTAACACATACCCCCCTCCCTTCTCTTTCCCTTGAGCAAGCGCCTCTCTAGCTTAGTATCCTTGTTCTCTGAGCTCCTTTACTCTCCCTGGATGAGTCAGTGCGATGGCATTAGTTCAAATCCCGAGCCTCATTGCATCTCCTCTTCTTAAGATCTGTACCATGTGGACTTCCAGCGTCAAACTTGCAACTTGGCCACGCCCCACTCGCAACGCGAGCCTCCCACCGGTGGGGGGGGGGAGGAGGAGGAGACAGGAGGAGGGCAAAATCGGCCGGCCCATTAAACCCGACCCAGTTTACTGAGTGCAGACGATCGGAAGGCGGGTAGGCAGGCAATTCAGGCAGACGTTCTCACGCCCACTCGCCATGCCGCCCGACCGGACAGTCCGTTGCCTGGTCCGGAATGGGATTTTTTCCCCCCTATCTTCCCCCCTCCCCACGTCTCAGTTTAGTCTGTTCCATTGTCGCAGGTCGCGGTTGCCAAAGATGGTCATTTGCGTTGTACTACGTGAGCGCGGGTTTCCTTGGTTAGAGTGACGCGCTCAGAGAGGGATTCCCTGCTCGCCCGCCACAGATCAAACCTCAATTAAGGGACGAATCTTAATAGAAAAGGCGGAGAGAGCGGCTTCAAAGAAGCCTGATTTTGCCCCCCGGTTCTTTCTCGGCGGGCAGGTCGTCCTGCGCGGCAGCATAAAGGCATAAAACTCGAGGGCTACTCGGAAGCAGGACAGGCGGGGAAGAGGGGGGGGGTTGCATTTCGGAGGCTGCCAGGCTTATTCAAATGTTGAATTTAGATGGGATGTTAAGAGGTTTGGGGGGAGGTTCCAGTCAATATAGTAGCAACGAAGAAATCCGAAAAGGGGTGGCGAATTCGAAAAAAGAAACACGGGCCAAGATCCCAGGGAGTTAAGCTGGAGCTTCATACCGCATAGAATCCCATTAACATCCTCGCGTTCTTATTTGATCTTGCCATATAATCTAATATCCGAGGCTTCCGATCATCAGATCTCATAGTTGATTTCCTGATCATCAGATCTCATGGTTTTTGTTTTTTCTTTCTTTCCTGAGCTCGCCTGCTGTATTTACAACCCGGAGTCCTAGAATCTGAACTCTACAAATCTGGAGCAGTTCCTTGTCCAGACCTCTGATTCATTTCTATACTATACGTGTTATTGCTAACTGTCGCTCTTCAGAAGTTAATGGGAAAACCGGGGGACGGCCGCTGGCGCTTATTCGCCCTTTTCCTTCGTCCGAAAGATGAAAAAAGCTCAACAGAAGAGTTGCGCCCGCGTCGTTGTTATGCAAAGCAATTTTTTTCCCCCGCCTCTTGAACCCAGGGAGCCCGATTTCCGAGTTGGGAATGGCGCTCTTTTAAGGCTGCGGCACGTGGAGTCCACCAATTTGGCTGTTATTTCGAAGTAAGTTAAAAGAGGCGCAGCCTCGACTTGGAATTGCACGAAAGGACAAAATTGCCTCAGCAGGAAGAGCATCGGGGGAACGCTTTGTGCCCAACGGGGAAACGAGCGGCGCCCTCCTTTTGCAGCCCTTCGGCTCGGAGCTACAGGATTTGTTCGTGAACCACCACCGCCAAGCGGCGCAAAGCCATTTAAAGGAGAAAAAAAGCCGGGCCGGAGCTTCGAGACTATATTCTTATGATCCTGGCCGACGGCCTACCGTATAAACTAGAAACAAGTTGCGAGGAAAGAAGGACGGGGGGCGGGGGGGACTCTATGTTCCCTTCGGCTCCGGTCGGGCGCTTGGCCCGGCCCAACCTCGCCTGGAACCGGACCAGAAAGCTTCCCCTTCTTTGCTGCAAGAGCCACGCCTCTTCCAGTAAGGGCCGGCTAGCCTGTAGGCGGAGCGGCTCGGCTGCTGCTGCTTCTGCACGCACCGACGGAGTTACTCGGGTCGGTTGCCTTCCAGTAAAGTGACGTGGCTGCTGGCTCAGTCCCCAGAGATCAAGGAGTTTCTGCGGAATTTGGGCGGCCCTTGATGCAACCTTGCAACGCCGCCAAGGAGAAAGCGAAGCGGTGACGCCGCCAGGACGGGAGGCAGCGGGCCGGAAACGTAACGGGGGCAAAGATCTGCCCAACCCAGACCGGAGTTGCGGGAAAAGGAGGGAGGGGGCGGCGGAAGACGGAATTTCCCGCTGAGAATTACGTCTGCCCGGACGTGTGTGTGTGTTTTTTTTTTCCCTCCCCTTTTTCGAAAAAGCAGCTCTCCAGGAAATTAGGTGCGCACGGCTCCCCCCCCCCCCCGCCTATATGGAAAATTATTTTTTTTAATAAAAAAAAAAACGCCGCCAGCGCCGCATCGGCAGTTCAAAATAATTAAAAGGGAGTGGGAGTCTCGGACGAGACACCCCGATGGATCCCGAAATGCCTGCAAAGCAATGGGCCGCCGCCTGCTTTTGTGTAAAAAGACTGCCGTCGTGGCAAAGTAACCGGCAATTGAAATCCTACCCAAAAAGTGACTCGCGTGTCGCCTTAAAAAATATACACGGTTATTCTTTCGGTTTGCCCGATTAGGAAACGACGTGGGTCCTGCTGACAAGTCACATAAACTGCGTTTAGGCCCCCGAACCTCTGCTAGGTCTCTGCATAGTTCAAAACGGAAAGCTGGATATCTTGGAAACGGCATAAAGAGCAAAAAATATCCACAACAAATACTTCGTGTAAAGAATTCTCTGTGTTGGAGTTTTCAAAGGGACGTGCTCTTCCTTTCATTTTTGCTTCACAGTTCCAAATTGTCAATACACTTCTTGAGTCGGGAATATGACATCAATACATGAGGTTGCAATGGTTATCATTATTGCAGTGTAAAATAATATGCCAATTTGCGTCTTCTTGAGGTGTTGGGGCTACAATTCCCAGAATACCTGGGCAATGTTCTCCAAATTTGCTGTACTACAGTAGCAACTACAGGTAGTCCTTGACTTAAAACAGTTCATTTAGTGACCATTCGAAGTTATAACAGACTGGAAAAAAGGGACATGGCAATTTTTCACATGACCGCTGCAGCATCCCCATGGTCACATCATTTACATTCAAATGCTTTACAACTGGTTCATATTTATGACGGATGCTATGTCCTGGGGTCATGTCATCACCTTTGCAACCTGACAAGCAGTCATTGGGGAAGGCAGATTCACTTAGCAACTGTGGCAAGAAAAATCATAAAATGGGGCAAAACTCACTTAACAAATTCCTCACTTAGCAACATAAATCCTGGGCTCAATTGATGTCATAAGTCGAGGACTACCTGTACTGAATAGATGTTCAAGTTGAAGCCTTCAATTATAAGTCCCCTAAGTTTCGATTCCACCGGTAGCTATTTCCTGGATATTGCTGTATGGCCAATGTAGGTGAGAGGTTATAATGATAGCAGCATCATAAAGCACAGCTTGTTATATATTTACAGTTCTGTGATATAATTGCAACAGGGGCTTAAAAACAAGACTATAGGAACTATAGTCAGTGTGAAGTCTATGACTAACATGCCTGTAAAAATTACAAGTCATTTCATAGAGCTTTTGGTTGATAGTCTTTATCAATCATCTCAGCGTTTTGTAGTATAGAAAGCTGAGATAAAACAATTAAGGCAACACCACTCAATGAAGCAATGCGTAGAAACCTGTAAGCCATATCAATTACTGTAGTTCCTGATACAGCTATGATTCATTGTTTACATACTGAAGTTCCCAAGATTTATTCCTGTCATCTCCGGGTAGATCTAGAAAAGGCTCCTGGTTAAACCCCAGGAGAATTGTTGCCAGACACTGAATAGTAAGGTCAGGCAGAGCTGGGGCTGGTGACTTATATTTAATGTGTTTTCATTATTAAAAACAAAACCCTTACATCATCCAGTATCCTTTGGACTTTTGAACCTGGGGATTTGTCTCGATTGCCATAACTGAGCACAAAAGTCCATTCCTGATTACCGGAAACGTTCACAAAAAACAAAGCTTTTCTTGTTCAGTGGTTGCTAATCAAGAGTGCCCTTGATTGATTTCCATTTCTAGGACAAAATGCCCCTGGAGAGAAATTGTGGGGGCTGGCAAATATTTGGTCCATGTGCAATCAGAATGCAGAACGAGACAGAATTTGATCTGATCCGGTAGACCACATTTTGTAACCTTGCCTTTCTTCATTTCAGTAGCCTGCAAGGGGTCAGGTGTGATACTTTATTCTTAAAACAATTGGGAGTATGAAAACCATACCTCAAGTTGCTTAGAGACCTACATTCTAATCAGTAGCTTAATGCCAAACTCAGAATAAGGCAGATACCCATGAATCTCTTGGGCCTTAACAATCATTTGGAGGTTTTCTCATCTCTCGCATCTCAATGTGTTCATTGTGGTTAGCCCAGCATTATAATGATTTATTTAAAATACAGTTAGGGTTAGGGTTAGGGTTAGTTAACCTCCAAGAGGAGAAAATTCTTACCTGCGCTCACCTAGATTGCTCTTGGACCAGTGGTGAAATTCAAATTTTTTTTACTACCGGTTCTGTGGGCATGGCTTGGTGGGCATGGCAGGGGAAGGATACTGCAAAATCTCCATTTCCACCCCACTCCAGGGGAAGGATACTTCAAAATCCCCATTTCCTCACCACTCCTGGGGGAAGGATATTGCAAAATCTCCATTTCCACCCGACTCTGAGGCCAGCCAGAGGTGGTATTTGCTGGTTCTCCGAACTATTCAAAATTTCCACTACCGGTTCTCTGAACTACTCAAAACTTCCAGTACTGGTTCTCCAGAACCTGCTGGATTTCACTCCTGTCTTGGACATAGAGGTCACTTGGTCTTCCAAAAATAATAATTCTAAGATCAAGCACAAGTTGAGAGACAGGAACTACACTCAGTCACCATAGTTTTGGGTGCAGAGTTCAATTATGAAATTGGTGAGGAATTGTTTGATATCTTCAAACTATTAACTTCTTTTCGAGGAGAATATGGATGCCATTCTTAAAAGCACTTGTGATGGGACAGAAGCCAGTGGAAGTCTCTCAAACTTAGAAGGGCTTTACAAGAATGGGCAGTTCACTGCTTGTGAATTTTGGGAGGTGTAGTCCCCATACATCTAGAAGGCTTCAACTGGATAAGACTAACTTAGATGAACTCGTAGTACTTGTTAAATCCTTTATTATTCTCTTCTGGATTTCTTTTTTTCCAGTGTGGGTCCTCGCTAATTTTCTGTCTATTATAAGCTATTGCTGTTTGTATTTTTCTTATATTATAAGCCACCTAGAGAGAGGCAGCTGTAGCCTGAATTGGTTAAATAATTCATTTGGTTTTTAAAGAATTTAGGATAATTTTAG